ACAGACGGGGAGCCATCCTACCCAGCCAGAGAGCAAGGCCAGTTGTGCTCTCTTGGACTCCCGGCCACGGATGGCTGCACCGTCACCAGGGTTCAAACTTGCGACCTCCTGATGATAGTCCAACGGTTAGATGGTCAACAAAAAACTATGGAATAAAACTATTGAATAAAATCGTAAAATGCCATCTGGTGTCTAGCTTATGGTATTTCAATCTACACTGTATAAGTTCTTATTGAATCAAAAACAGCTATTATTAATATGACAAGTGATTTCAGACTTCAATGATATAACACCTATCAAGATGGCAAGAGGAAAACTAAAGGTTCATTATGGGGCATGTGTGGCATTAGCTACTTAACGGTGTTTCAGTAGTGACTAATGTGGCATCTGTGTTTAGAGCCATGGGAAAGACATCAGTGAACAGATTTGGAAGTTGTGGTAGAAAGTGCATATTCAGTGACTATAATGCTTGATGCAATATTTAATGAAGAACGGCAGAACAACTTTAGTCCAAAAACAGACGTGATTCCTACATAGGCTTAGAAAAAAGAATATATATTTGATTCCTTAAAAAAGCTCTGTGATAATGCAGGTTTGTTGTTACAATAGCCGACACTGCTTCATACAATTTGGCTTGCAGTGAGAATAATAATCATGTTTCAAGCATTTTTGCAGGCTAGAGTAGTTTTTGAGCTGTACACATGTATGCTTTGTGAGTGGTTTTTTAGCTGAATGGTGAAGTTACTTGCCCTCCACATGGGAAAGTTTACCAAAGGAAAGCATTTGTTGAGCTTCTATTGCTATATTTCACATATCTAATGATGTCCCGTGTCACTGTGTATGTGTAAGGTAGTATGATCCATTTAGTCATTACAGTCTGGAACGATGTGTTTATTTTTGACGCTCATTTTGTGATGAAAATGCAATTCTTTGTGTGGCCTGAGTCTGTATTTTTATATAAAATAAGAAATTTCTAAGCGCAACTTTTAACCTCAGTAGCAAAAAAGAAATAGTTTGTCCTTTCAGGTTTAAAAAAAGGAAAACATAGCAAAAAAATGTACAATAGCACTTTCTAAATTCAGCACTATTTTGCTGTAGGTTAGCCCTGTTGGCTGGCTTTCCAGCAAAGTTAGGACATTTTTGTCCCAAAACTGCACAAAAACAAACACAAATGCACAAAGAGCAGCTTTTACGGGTTCAGCTCCCCTTTTGTTTACTCCAGCCATCTTTGCTTGGGTTGAGTTGAGTTCACTCATGCCACCACTTGTGTGTGTTTTTAACCTTGTTGTATTTAGTCTAAAGTGAGTCCATCTCTATCCAGAATGACCTGTTGACCTCTTTGGTCTTCATCAAGCGGTACTTGTAAGGCTCTAGCTCCTTTCTTGTTGAGCTCACCTGGGCAGGAAAGGGTTAAATGGCTGTCTCTGACAGGTAATGCTTCAGCGAGATGCAGAAGTGGTGTCTCATGCATGAACGAGGGATAAGAAAGAGAGAGAGAGACGAGTGAGGCTGTTGTGCAACAAGCGAGATGAACCAATACTGAAAGCACTTTCGCATAGTTTCACCAACTGCCAATCACCACGCTTAAGGCAAAGAGGACAGGGACTGTCATATGAGAGAAGAAAAGAGTGATATGCTAGATGTTTGCAATATGCAAATGAACTCTAACCTATAGTTGTATATTATATTGTGTGTCATAAGCATCCTCACCAATCACACGTTCTAGGGCTGAACAATAAATATTATTTGCTAATAAGTATCATGATAGTAGCTTTCACACTATTAATATCACAGAAGTCTGGAGTAGGTCTTGTGATTTTTTTTTGGTGTTTAATGAATCAAGGCATTCCATGTGATCTAACATGGAAACATAAATGATTTGGGCAATATAATCTTTAACCATGTCACATTGAGGGTTTAACAATGTGATTCGAATGTGATTTTTATTTATCAAAGATGTTGATCTTGTGACAAGGCTCTGATAATTTACTGTACACTTACATGACACCAGAATAAGGAAAAAAAAGTTAAAGAAAACCCAAAGTATTTTAGTAAAGTTAATAAAATATGAATAAATGTGTGGAATTTCAAATGTATGGAACTAAGGTTAATTATAGTTCTAGTGCACAAAAAATTATGTGTTTCACATTCCACTGTCTTTTTTACAGTAAGAAATAACAGCTTGGTGGACACCCTAATTTATATGCTTTTATAATTGTTTTTTTTGCTTGCTTATTTATAATTTTATTATTGTATTTCTTTCAGAAAACGAAACTTCTTATCTCAGAAATTTATGGGATTTGTTGGTGACAGTGTGTGCTTTAACTGGCATGGACTCAAAAGTTTGTGCAAAAGCCTCTGATCAGTATCTAAACAGGTGTTGCAATGGAAGGAAGAGTAAAATTTGCTTCATTGTTAATAATCACCTCGATCTAATGTACACTTTCAAATATATATATATATATATATATATTTCATTGTAATATTGTTCATTGTTTTTGTTTTTCAAGATTTTCAAGATTCTAAAACTTTCTGTTGTTTGTTTCCAGGTTTAAAGGACCTCACCTGTGTTTGTCTATCTGTTGTATATATAAATATAAATATAAATATAAACGTATATATTTATATTTATATATTGCTGCTATCAGAAGAAAACCTTGTATCTCCATTTTTCAGTTTTTGACAAAATTTGAAAATGCCTGTAGTCTCACTCACCTGGTCACTCACACACACACACACACACACACACACACCCCTCAGCACTTTAACCTTCTAGTGTTAGAGTTCACATGTGTCATCACCAATTGAGTGGCCTGTCGTATCCATCAGACGATAGGATGCAAATGCGCAAATACACACACATCACCTTTTCTCAAACAGGCTGGAGACGGGCGGCTGGTTGCCAGAGTGACGTTAAGAGAGGAAAAAGAGGGTTTGGATATTATGGGCTGGAGAAAAAGAAGAGGAGAGGAGCGTAACGGACAGAGACGAAAGAATGTGACAGGAAGAGAAGCCGCCTCATAACAAGACGTCAAAGGGAAAGAGGGAGCTTTCAGTCACGAAAGCACATTTAATTTACACGCATAGAGAGCTGTATCCCTGTCTGCCCTTCTCTCACGTTATCCTGTATGGCACCCTCTCACTCTAAGCTGAGCTTGACATCTTGTTGAACAGCTAAATGCTTCTCTATTACATTAGAAGTATGTGTATATCATCAACACACACACATAGTCTGTGTCATTAACATCCTCTGACGTCTCGGTCAATGTAATTTAGTTTCCCTCCTTGATTTGGCAGTACTCTAAATACTTGCTGAGGTTTTGCTATTTGTTCCTGTAGACTGTAACAGCTAGCATGGTTAGTCCAGAATGGATCTGACCTCTGGCCTTAAGGGAATGAGTGTATATTGATTTGTTAAACAGTCAGTAAGGCTAAGTGCTTCCCTCTACAGCTGCTACTAATGCTCACTTTCCTCATTTCCTGATAAGGGTGCTTGTTGTGGGTGGTGTAGATGCTGATGAATTAGTGCTAAAAAGTTTGTGTGGGTACAGTGGACGTTGATTGACTTCAGAGGAAGGATTTCAATCATGTACGTTACTGAAAGTGAGAGAGAGAAGACATGTAAAATTACTTAAAGGGGAGTTTTCAAAACTTTTGTGAATGGCTCAAAAGAAACAAAATTAAGGTTTTGGAGTGGCCAAGTCCAAGTCCTGACTTGAATCCCACTGAGATGCTGTGGCAGTTCATGCTCGAAAACTCTCCAATGTAGCCAAATTAAAACAGTTCTGCAAAGAGTGGGCCAGAATTCCTTTACAGCGATGTAAAAGACTCATCAGTACTTTTTCACAGCACTGTAAATGCAACTTTAAATGTAACTTTACTTTAGGTGAAGTTTTTGTATATAGTTTAACTTGCTGAAAATGATGTTATAGCTTTTGGTTTTGAGTTGAAACAGCTTTTCAACTATAGACATGCCTGAATGCTTTAAAGGTTGAGATTGTACTGGTGAGTGACAGCAGGTCAATGGTTGGTAAATGCAGGTTTGCTGGTTTAAATCTGAGGGACTGCTGGTGTCGACACTGATGTTATAAACCCTTATAGTTACTTGTAACAATATGAGGATGCTTTAGATAAACAAAGTCTGTTCCAATTCCAAAATTCACTATAAAAGTAAACATAAGTAAAATTCTGACATATCTGCTGTGTAAATGTTTGCTTTCACCTTGGTTATATGCCAGCATATCATTTAGTAGTATATCATGTAAATACAATACCAGTTTAATGTTTGGACACACCTGCTCATGAGGGGACTTCTTTATCTTTTAAATATTAGTGAAGACATCAAAAGTACTAACACAATTATTTATGCAGTGGCAAATCAAATCTTACATTTTATATTCTTCAAACACCCCCACCCTTGCCTTGATGCAGCTTTGGTACATGGGATGCTTTTCCAGCAATCTTGAAGAAGTTCCACTTGTGCTGAGCGATTGTTGGCTGCTGAAAAAGTACTTGTTGAGGAGTGATATATATATATATTTTTTTCAATATCTTTAAAAATACATTCATACTTTATTATTCACATTTATCTTAGACATGAGTTTCAAGCATTTAAGCATAGATTTTTAGATGTACATGTTTTTAAGATTATGGAAAACACACATTCATTCAGGTGTGTCGACACTTTTGACCGGCACTGTATTTATATCAGGGATGATTTATATTACAACCAAGAACAACAAAGAACTTGATTTGAACTCAGTTACCTTCATTATGTTGGATATATGTTGATCCTCATAACTCATAACTCATAACTAGTGATTATTCTTAACCCCATCTGTGGGTTAATTTGCAACATTTGCACTTCAGGTTGGATTTAGGGAAGCTGATCTGTATTTAGCAAAAAGCAAAATGTGTTAGGTGCCTCATCTCCTCTACTTTCATGTTGTAATAAACAGTGCATGAAGCCGAAACAAGGCCTGTGTTTATGTGTGTTTTAGACTCAGCTGCTGTTGGCGGTGGTGGAGGATGAGAGCAGTGTTCAGGAGAACAGAAGAGAAATGGCTGAGACTCTGCTGAATGCTCTGACTGACAGACAACAACACAGACAGACCTGGAGGGATAGGTAAGAGTGATGCATGTCTACATACATACACAAACGTGCATATACTCATAACCCCAAAAAGGAGATGAACTAACAATACTGTGTGAAGTAAACCTTTGTGTAACTGTGTCCAACTAAGACAAATGTGGAAAAAAAAAAAAAAAATTTTGAAATGGTGAAAAAATTCACAAACAGTGCCGAAATGCGAAGTACAAATAAAAAATAATGGAATTCACTACCTTGGATAACCAACTGCTCTCTTATGTCAAGGCACATACTGTTTCATGGCACATACAGTAACCAACACTTCAATAAGTTTAAGTACACTGTTTTACACTTTTTGGTTTTGGTGTGTCCTGTAATTTGATTTTTAACAGGCATCTTCATTTAAGTGCACTTCTAATAATTATATTATTATACTTATAATTACTTACATGCTAAATTGCTCTTTTGGAGAATGTTTTGGTGGGAAATCCCTCACAGTGCTTGCTATCTTTCTCTCCCTCTCTTTTTTTCAAATGCACCTACATAAACACACACGTGTGCGCTGATAGCCCAGTGACTTCCTTCCTCAGAGATAAGACTGACTTAGACAGTGCCCATTCATTCAGATAACACATAGCACACACACACACACAGATAACACTGCTGTTTACACTGCACCACTTCTCTCCAATTTTGGTCCCCTCAGGAGCCCACTACTCTTGGACATGTGTACACACACACTGGCATGCCCACCAGGTCAGATTCTTCTGTAAGACATAGCTATCAAAGAGAGCTCATCATCTTCATTAATCCCCGTTAAAGCAGGTCAAACATCTTTCGGTGGGAGTGCATGCATGTGTAACCATTCCAGTGAGGCCTGTGCCCAGAGACATTTAACTGAGTTACAATTGTAGCATACCCCAGTGATGGTACAAACTTGTTTACCATTGGCTTAACAACTTGTCATTCATTTGTTGATTTGTTTCATGTGAACCATAGCGAGACACTAAGATTCACACATGCGAATATAACTGAACTTTTAATCATGTTGAGTTAATTGTAGCCTATTAATACATTGAAGTAAAATGCTGTTGTACATTGTACATTATATTGTATGGTTGAACACGCTTGAGTGGAGGCTTTGGGGCAGACATTTCTCACCCCTTTATGGAAAGCAGCCTATGTTGTGGTATATGTTTTTGACTTCCTTAAACCATAGCGTCAAGTTTCAGACATCAGACAAAGCAGCTTCAGTTCTTTGGAAATACAATGTCCTGTCCCAGCTCTCATACAAGTGGACATCAGACAAAAAGGCATCAGCCTAAGCATCCACACACATTCAGACAAAACAGCCTTGGATGGTAAACTTCATATGACATTCACGATTCCATTCTTTCTTACTAGAATAATTACAGATTTAGATTTGTTATTTTGTGCCCAGATTACAGAAGACAATAAACTTTGACTGCAAATATACTGAACTGCACTATTATTATATTCTTTTATTTGATGAAGATTACGCTTAAACACACCCCCTATCGTTGCGTCTGTGTCCGCATCCGCATTAGAAAAACCACATGATGTTTTGAAGTTTGCTTTTTAGTTTTATGGAGCTTTAAGGCTAAAGTAGCCAATAAGTAACGGAAGCTTATGAACACTTAGCATTATGATCTTTTACTAATAGACCTGCTTATGTGTTTTCTGATACTACGTAACATACTGTTACTGTTACTGTTACTGTTATATGAAAATGGACAAAAGTATGTCACAGCTAAAAACATTTGTAGCAGTCTTGAAGCCTGAATTTTGTTGATTTTCTATTTTTTGTACATTTTTATAAATAACAGTACGTCTTACAGTGTCAGAAACAATATAAGCCACTTTATTTCAGATTACATAACAGCTCAACACACTTTGAGGCAAGTATGTGTTGATTTAGCTACAGGCGCAACATCGGGGGTCATTTATTGGGGCAGTGCCCCAACACACAGTCATAATGCACCACTAAGCCCACTTCTCTTTGCATATACTTCTATAATAACAAGCTCACCTGGTATAAAATGCTACCTTTTATGCATAGCTTCATATATAGCTGCATTTTAGGGGTGTTCAGATGACCCACTCATGATTTAGTCCTGCTGCCAGGCCTGTTTAGGCACATAGTTTTCGGTTTGCTAATGGGTGGCTATAAGCTTCCATTATTCGTTGGCTCATTTAGCCTCATCCAGTGCAAGACTAAAGAAAGGAGCTTCAGAAACCAAACATGTCTTGATGATGTGCTCTATTTTCTGTGAAAGGCAAAATTGTGTGCATTAGATTTTTCACCCAACTGTTCCTTTAAATTGCTTTGAATAGACATTTCCTAAACACACATATTACCTTTGACTAATGTCCATTCAGGCCTGCCTCCCTCCTCTTTGTGTATGTTTCTGTGCGAGTGTTGATGCTTGGCTCTCTCTGCCGTTGGGTCGCTGCATTCTTCGCAGAGGCGTCGAAAGCTGGAGACCAGGCCATGCCTGTCCATTCATCAAGGCAGTGTCTACACATAGAGACACACACACACGCATGCTTTCAGTGCTCCGACCCTGCACACACAAGTTTATTTCATCAGTGGGAGAGATTAGATAGGGTCAGACTTGCTCCCTCACGCTCTCCGTTCTAATGCGTTTGAACCCCCACCCCTCTGCTCTCTATCACTTCCTGCGCCCCCCCATCCTCCCCGCTCAGGCCTGATAACGGAACCTCCCACATTAGCCCTGGGTCTGTGAAGTGCCTGTCAACAGACGAAATTTAAAGGAAAAGAACCACATTGCCCTGCGCGACGTTAAACACAGTGCGATAAGATAGAGCTGATGTTATCTCTGACACATAACACACAGGCAGGGTGACAGTAACATGCTTTTAGCAGTGAGTATATGAAGCATTTATTCTAATTCACTGAATAATTTCATAATCACTTTCAGGATGGTTTCTTTGAATGCTGTTAGCATGAAAGCAGCCCTTCATCACTCAATCATGTGTCATCAAATGGACATGCTCATTTGAAATTATTTCCTTTCAGAAAATCATGCTTTTATTGTCCTTCATAGTTGTTCTTAACAAAAAAACATTTTTTTTCCACCTCAGTAAGCATATTTTTTTTGTGCCAAATGACACTGAGAAATACAGTTTTAATATGCTAAAGTTGTGATGGGGAGGAATATTTGAGGCTAAAGTGGCTTGTTAGCCCTTGATAAACAGAACATTTCAGAACATTTCTGTGAGTATTGCAAGACAAATCATAAAAAACCTGTTTTCTTTGTCTGTTGTGTGATAGGTTGGACATGTTGTGTTTGTCAGACACTGTTAAGGATGGAGAAAATTATCAATGTTAAATACACATAAAGTTTACCACCTTTTGACCTCTTCTGCAGGCTCAAATAATTTCACTTACATATTATATTATGGAATATCACAGCACTGACAGACACTTTATGGCTAAATAAACTGGTGAGATGGAGTTGGGGGAGCAAAAGTAAAGCAAATTATATTTTTCTTAAAATGCATGTTTAGTTTATGCTAATGTTGAAACAGATGTAATTTGCTGGCTGTCTATATGGACCTATAGGTCTGGAAATGGTTAAACAACCGTTTGCTTTTTGTATTAATGTTATTTGTATTTTTGTTAATGTTTTTGTGACCAATTAAACAAATACTGCCCAGATCAACAGCTTTTTAATTCTAACTTTCTCAGTCGCCTGAAACTTTGGCATAGTACTGTACATATACAAGCAAACCTTTTTAAATTACAATGAACATATTTAAGCTTGAAAAACATGGAATTTTAAGTAAGTTTTTCCCTTATACACGGCATCAAACTTGAGCTCAAATGGTACTCTTTTTATAGAATGACTCTGTACATATTTTCTCCCGATTTGTCCCCAGATGATACTAGTATTCTTCTTTTCTTATGCGCTCAAACTACGAAGATAATGTAGCTAACAAGAAAACGCAACATTGAGCAATTAGCATCATGCAAGCTGCATGCCTAAATCATCACACGCGTCTCAGACTGCACTGTGTTATTTCTGACACTATGACATGCACTTTTTTTATTAACATGGACAAAACTACAGACAGTCTAAGCTAATAGTGCTGTTTATAGCTATGCAAAGTATGTTTGTCCATTTATATAGATGACAGGTGGACTAGAAGCTTTGTAACTCTAGTGCAAAACTAAACAGATTTCAGACAGTAAATGTGTCTTGCATTTGGGGTAGGAGAAAATTGTCTTTGATTTCTCAAATGATGGGAATGCAACCACAATATGTTCCTTTAAAGGCCCAGTCAGGAGTTAGGATTAAGGTTAGGGTCAGCTTTTAGTGCTGCAACAACAAATCCTTTTACACAGATTCAGTGACTCTATAGCAACTATTAACTGATTACTATTGTATGTTTACCATGTTTTCTGTAACTAAACTCAGCATCTGTTTCAACACGTCCTTATTGGACCTTTAAACATTAATTCCTCACCACACCTCCTTTGCAAAAACCCTTCCTTGCTGATTCATGCTCCTTATTTGGTGGTGAAAAGCCTAATTGTTTTATTGGTTTAGTATGCAGAGGACTCCGCTTTTCCGATTATGGCCTCCTTTGTCTCGGAGCATAATGGCGTTAAAGTTTGGAGTGTTAAAGCCAGGATGATGGATCGCTGGGGCCGAAGACTCATAAACACAAGCATGGGCCGCCTGATTGATTAAGCCTTCCGAGCTTCTTTCAGACGGCCGTTGTTTCTGAAACAGCGCTTTAAGTGGTGCGGAGTGCAGGGCATGGGGCTGCAGGCTTGAGAGAGAGAGAGAGAGTGAGAGAGAGAGAGAGAGAGAGAATGCTAAATGTGACCGCAGGGGACCTCTTGCTGCTTTATAAGTACTCAGGTTGAATGATGACTTTACTTCCACCACCCTAGTGACCCATCTATTCCCTTAAACTCACTCGCTCATTCATGCCGCTCTCTACTCCCCATTTTCTTACGCACAGATAGATAAATACACACACAG